CGGCGAGAGCTGGAGCAGCCTGAGCCTCAGGAGCCTCCTGAGAAGCTGGAGCCCAGCACGTCCTGGTGGCCAGTGTCCTCTATTGAGAAGAAGAGAAACATCACCCTGGTGAGGACAGGGAAAATGTGGGTGCACGTGTGACAGAGCAGGGCATCACAGGTCATCAGGGCGCTGGCATCCAGCGAGCATGGGCTGTCAAGGCTTGTGGTGGTCAAACACCTGGGGCATGTTGGCCAGACTGTTTGTAGCCCAGTTGGAGGAAGGAGGTGCCTGTGAGGCAGCTGCTGATGCTGCAGACCCCCAAACTCCAGATGTCTACTTCATAGCCAGCTAGGTAATCCTAGCCAGCTAGGAAAACTGATTTTCCTCGTGTTTATATAAAACATCACATTTTGTAGGGATGGGAGGGGTGAGCTGTCCATGAGTTCTGTTGTTCCTTTTCCTTTTTTTGTTCTTTTGAGACAGGGTCTTGGATTCTTTTATATAAAATTAAGGCAGATGACCTTGCTTTTCAGAAAACTGCTCAAGGAGTTTTGAATTACTTAAAAGTAGAAAATGGGAAAAAAAGTAGAAAATGGGGCTGGAGAGATGGCCCAGTGGTTAAGAGCAGTGGCGGCTCTTGCAGAGGACTGGGGTTCAGTTACTAGCACCCACATGGCAGCTAACAGCCATCCCTAACTCCAGTTCCAGAGGATCCGATGCCATCTTCCGCCCTTCTCAGGCATTGTATGCATATGGTGCGCCTACACGTACAGGCAGGCAAAACAAATAGAATAAATAAATAAAAGTAATTAAAAAAGAAAAAGAAAAATGTCAAGTCAGGCACAGTGGCCCAGGTCTGCAGTCTCAGCACTTTGAGGCTGAGGCAGAAGGGCAAGAAGTTTGAGGGAAACTTGGGCTACATAGTGAGACCCTGTTTAAAAAAATGCACCTTGCAGGAGATTTGGAGTTTAAATGAGGTAAATGCCTGCCAGGTAGTGGGTGCTTAATAAATGAGACGTTAGGCTGGATAGACTTCAACTCAGGAGGCCACTCTGTCTGTTGCTATGAAGTAAGGGACCCCTCACTATGTGTTTCAAAGCCAAACGATTCAAATTTGGGGTAGGCAGCTATTTTGGACTACTGGGTTAGTTTAGAAATACATCCTGGAGGAGGAGAGTTTGAGGTCAGGTAAGGATGATGGGAGAAGATGGCAGGCTCATGGGCCTAGTGGCTTAGGGTCTTACCTTTCATTGTCCGTAGGACTGTGCCCGGGGCACTGCCAACTGTGTGGTGTTCAGCTGCCCACTCTACAGCTTTGACAGAGCAGCAGTGCTGCATGTCTGGGGCCGCCTCTGGAACAGCACGTTTCTGGAGGTGAGGGCACTGCTGGGACGCCAGGCTGGGTTTCATCTGCTAAAGTCCCAGTGGGACTTGCTTTTTTTACCTCCCCCTTGTCCAAATGCATCATACTCTAAACCCAAGCCAGGCACCATTCCATTTATAATCTCAGTGGTCGGGGAAGGGGATGGCGAGGGACATGGGCGTTTAGGAGGAGGGACTCCTCCCCTATTCCCTTAGGAATACACGGCTGTGAAGTCCCTGGAAGTGATTGTCCGAGCCAACATCACAGTGAAGTCTTCCATCAAGAACTTGCTGCTCAGAGATGCCTCGGCAGTGGTGAGCTACAAGGCTGGGGAGATCAGATGGGGCTCTCCCACTCCCTCCAGCTTTTGCTTTATTAACTCCTTGTTCCTCAGATCCCAGTGATGGTATACTTGGACCCCGTGGCGGTGGTGGCAGAAGGAGTCCCCTGGTGGGTCATCCTTCTCGCTGTGCTGGCTGGGCTGCTGGTGCTGGCACTGCTGGTGCTGCTACTGTGGAAGGTGAGGCTTGGGGAGGGGTAGAGTCAGTGGGGGCTGGGATTGCAGTCAGGTGGGCAGTCTCTCATCCATTCGAACACTCATCTAGCAACTCTACATTGAGCACTTACCTTGCATGTACCAGTAATTCCATCTACGTTGGATGTTTCAAAGATGACTCTGCTGTGGATCTTGTCCTCTGGGACTGTATAGTTGAGTGGGAGAAGGGAGCCTTGTTGTTAAGGACAAGCCAGACCGTGTTGGATTGAGACAGTGGGAACTCACACTTTTCTCTGGAGCTTGACCTTAGAAGAAGGTCTGGATTTGGGCAGATGAGATGATTGAGACCTGAGCCTTCCAGAAGAATATGATGGGCAAAGCCAGAGGCAGAGGGAAGTGTAGTCTGATTTAACCAGAGTGTGGCAGCAAAGGTGGGGAAGGAAGCTTATGGCCAAGGCCAGCAACTGTGGAAAAATGGCTCCAGGGAACGGCCTGGCACAGAATGGTAGCTGCCGCATACCAGGCTCCATATGGAACCATTCTCGTTCACACAGAGCTGTAACAGAATCCTATTGGCTCAACATAAAGCACACACACACACACACACACACACACACACACACACACACTTTGGCTCAACATAAAGCACACACACACACACACACACACACACACACATGTCAGTGCAGGGAATCTCTCTTCACCAGGGCTCATTTCTGAGCCACATGTCACATGTGGGGCTTTGTGGGGAACCATGTACATTCGTGCTCTGTGAACTGCCCTGCCTGCCTGTTCCTGGAAACCAGTTATGTGTTGAGCACACTATTTGGCAAGTATGTGTAATCAGTGGACTGGGTTCTGGAGTGGCATCCATGCTGTTGGGCATGTGCCCAGTCCTAGGAATGATTGATGCCTTCAGGACTGGCATCACCCATCTTTCTCATGGAAGGGCTATAGAGCAGAGCTAAAAGGCTGCCCCCTTCCTCAATCTTCCCATACTCTGCCTCTTTCCCCTCTCCCTGGACAACCCAGTGTGGCTTTTTCCATCGGAACAGTCCGAGCTCATCATTCCCCACCAACTATCATCGAGCCCACCTGGCCATGCAGCCCTCAGCCGTGGAGGCTGGGGGTCCAGGGACTGTGGGGTAACTGTTGTATGTGCATGTGTGTATGCAAATGTGCGTGAGGGTATCTGGGTGTGTGTGTGTGAGTCTAAGTATAGCTCCCAGCATTCAGAGGGTCAGGACTGTACAGGGTGAAGAGAATGTATGAGGGTGATGAAAGCCCTAGCAACTGAGGTGAAAAGTACTTAGAAGGGTGATTAGAATCATGGGTATACACAGCCCAGCATGCAAAAAGAGTGGGTGGGCTAGTGGAGTGTGAGCATGTGGACCTGTGGGGAGGTTCTGTGCATGTCTTCTGTGGGCATGAGTGTGCAGAGATGAACATGCAAGGAGACCTTCTGCAGTCTGAGCATGCAGGAGCCTTGGCTATTCTGTGCCAGTATGCAAAGTGTCCATCACCACCTTGGTAGGTAGGGCCAGCATGGTCATGATTTTAGGGAGGGACTAGGCTAGTGTATTCATGGATACATGGTCCCTGGCCTAAGGGGATGCTTCCAGTGTACAAGCACAGGGGTGCATATGTAAGAGACTGGAAGGATATGCATGGGGTCTAGGAAGCCATTTTTCCTTAGATCCTGTTTATGTTCTAGGGGGCACTATTGAATCTTGTGAGGAGCTTAGGTCGGGGGGAAGCTTGAGAGGTCCTGATATTTCATCTTCAAGCCTCTCTTTCAGGGGCCAGGAGACATTTCTTTAGTCTTACACCTTGGATTTCCTTCTGGTTTTCCTTTTGCTGTGAATGGAAACCTGGGAGCCTGGTCCTGATGGTGGCAACCTGGGGGCTGCCCACTGTGTCAGAAGCTGGCCAGCCTACCTCCTTTTGCTTTAGCTGTTTTTTTTTTCTTCTTACCCAAGGATGGCGAGGGCGCCAGGGGCCTCAGCCTTACAGGCTCCTCATGGTTTGGTTTGGTGTCTTTATAGCTGGGATTCTTTAAGCGGGCAAAGCACCCTGAGGCCACCGTGCCCCAGTACCACGCGGTGAAGATCCCTCGGGAAGATCGGCAGCAGTTCAAGGAGGAGAAGACGGGTACTATCCTGAGGAGCAATTGGAGCAACCCCCGGTGGGAGGGCTCTGATGCACACCCCATCCTGGCAGCTGATGGGCACCCTGAGTTAGGTCCTGATGGTCATCCTGTACTGGTCAATGCCTAACTTCTTTTGTTCCATTCTGGCTTGTGGGTACCCTCCACCTTTCCCAAGATGGCTCCTCAGGATAGAAAGAGTGGAGTGGGTTGCTGGCATCACATTGAGATATGGCAGGATCTGCTTCCTCAGGGGGCATAGACCTCTCCCACCATGAGAACTACCCCTCTAACTTCCCCTTAGAATGTTATGAGACAAGGGGGTAAATCAGGAATGGATTGTGGGGCAGGGCTGGAAGGGCAGGATGTCCTGATGCAGGACGGGAAGAAGGGGGTCCTGGTTCCTTTCTCCCATTCACTCTGTGTAATCTGTCTCTCCCAAAGTGCCTTAGCCAGAGGGTCAGGGAGGAGATTGTGTCATTCTCAGGGGCTCTTCCCTCCCTAGTTTTCCCTGTCCTCTGACCTTAGTTTGCTGTATCAGTCTAGTGGGTTTTGTCTATTTATTAAAAAACTTTTGAGGATAAAAATATGGCTTCTTTATTGAGTATTTTATTGGATCTGTCATCTTTCTGCTTGTCTCTGTCTCCCTGCAGCTCAGGGCAGGGTGGGTAGAGTGGAGGGAGACTGAGGTGGCCTGGCAGGCAATGCATATACATTGACTTGTGACCAGCTCTCAAGAAGGAGGGCAGTGAGGGCCTTACCATGGGGACAAGGGAAAAGGACAGGATAGGGGCTGACCTAGGAGGTGGGCAAAGTCCAGGGCTTTGCAGTTGATGATATGGAAGGGTTGTTTTTCTGCCTCTGGAGAAAGCAGGGATAGAGCCTCACTGGGAGGAGGGACTGAAGGAAGCTAAATGTTGCCCCTGGCAGCAGTAGTGGGTGCTGAGGGTTCTTCTGGTCTCTCTCAGTAGAAGGTATACCTGACAAGGGGCTAACCACAGGCAGGGGAGGGAGCAGATGACATCTTTGGTTTATTTCACAGCCTTTCCCATGATGTGAGGCCCAACAGGTAACCACTTGAAGGGAGGGGGCTGCCATTCCATTTGGATTTCCGAGAACTGAGCCCTTTCAAGGTCCTTCCAGGTCTCTCTGGTGAGACAGCAACCATCCCCAATGTGTTTCCAGGTGGGCTCGAAAACTCGCTGCCACATAAAGGCCCAGCTTTCCCGAGGCTCTGCCACATGCTCCCAGAAGAACAGCAGTCCTCCCTGGGAGGGAGGAGGAAGTTAATACCACTTATCTACTCCATCCTGCTCCTTTCTTCTAACCTCCTTTTCTTCCCTCTGACCCAGCTTGTCGTCTCTGTGAAATGGGAGCTGCAGATCTGAGAGTTTATGGAGCAAAATGCCTTGACTCCTTATATTTTCAGCTACTCTAGCTCCTGCCCTCCTCAAAATGCATGTAGGGAACTTCTGAAAACTGAGTGGGGATGGCTGGTGAGAGGGCTTTGGAGAATGGCTGGAAAGGTGGTCAGTAGACAGACAGAGCAACTGAGGAATGGGGACAGAGGCCCTTCTAGGTGTGTCTAACCTTTTAACATTATGACATGACAGTTATCATCTACAAAGTTGACACTTAAGAACTGTACAATTGAGTTATGAAAAAAATCAAAAAACTGTTTTAAGTAAGTTTACAATGTTGTGTTGGGCCACTTTCACGGCCAACCTGGGGCACATTGTGGCCTGCAGGAAAGAGACATGCCCCTGGATCTCTTGTGGGACTCTGGTGTCTGCACAGCCCAGATAGCCTACGTGTTCCAGCTACAGCAGGACTCCCTCACGCTCTTCCCCTCATGCTCTCTTTCTAGGGGATTCATCAGCCCCATGCTGAATTTCCACTACAAGTGCATACAGTCCACATCTCTTTCTCTAGGCCACATTTTTTCCTGTTTCCAGCCCTGGACTTCTAATGACCTATGGCTTCTCTGCTTGGAGGTCTCAGCACCTCCTGAGACCCAACACATCCAGAACAAAGTTCTTCCATTCCAGCAAGTGGCCCTTTCATCTACTCTCCAGTTGTACAAACCAAGATTTTGGAAGTTATCCTAAATTCTTTCCTTTCCACACCCAGTTCAAATTTTTATGGATTCTACTTCCTCTAACATCTCTATCAGAAGCTTTTATTTCTCCTACCTCCATACTTTGTTAACCCCTCAGATCTCAATTTAAGCCTTAGGTTTCTTTCCTAGCTCCTTCACCCTTGTGCCAGTCAATGCTCATGTGTGTTTCCATAGTACCCCATTATGGCCATAGCTCCTATTCAGTAGCAGGCGAATGGGCTGATGTCATAGATGACAGGCTCTATGGGCCATTCTGATACCTTTTTCAGCTGTCAGATGGTGGGCTACATAAGCTTCCCCATCAGGGGCCCTGAACCCTGGAGTTGCCAATGCTGTGTTTACCTGCCCCAGGCCCGTTCCCTTTCCACTCTGCTCACCGGTCTCAGAACTCTCTGGATTTCCTGCAGGACCTTTTTGGGGCTCTGAACAGAGCACAGCACAAGAGTGCAGACCACCACATCCATGGAGCTATCAGCCAGTTGTTTCATGTCCTCTCCATAACCCACGACAAACTGCTCATATTGGAGGTGCCGATTCTCAGCCATGCTCTTTGTCAGGAACTTCTCAAAGTTGGGGTTTGGGTCCAGGCAGGTGACCTTGCAGCCAGGTGGGTAGAACTGGAAGTTGGCCCCAGTGCCGCAGCCCAGCTCCAGCAGGGCCACTTTCCCAGAGGTCCCCTTAAGTTCCTTTATCTGGCGAAAGAGTTCCTGTTTCTTGTTCTCCATCTTTCTGTTGGCTTTGGGAGTCAGCATGGCCATGAAGTAGGGGAAGTAGGTTTTGCATAGTGGCTGCCAGCAACCTAACAGAGCCAGAAGGTGCAGGGGTAGGGTCAGGAGCAACATCAGCAGCTGTAGGAGAGGGATCAGGGCTTCCATGATACCAGCTCTGGGCCGTGCTTCCTCTCAGGCACTGCTTTTGGCTTCCACTCAGCCTGGGCAGATACAAGTCTCCCCTCCTCCTGTGACGGGACTTTGCTCCTTGTCTCCTGCCAGGCCAATCCTCTGTACAGGGTGGAGTGTGTGCATGAAATTCCTCCAGGGGGCATGAGTTTAGCTCTGCAGACTCTTTAACAAGTTTTTTTTGTGGGTGAAGGGCCAGGTGAAGCTTGTGTTCTATGTTCTGTAGTGTTTGGTCCTGATGAAGAGGGTGGGGTGTGCTCGTTTACCTCAGAGGAGGGGAGGAAGGGGGCCAGGGGCATATCTCAAGTCACAGCATCATGGGGGCCAAAGAGCTGACTCATCAAGTGAGTCTTGGTCTTGTCCTCAGGTTGTGCAAGCTGGAAATTCTGGTTGGATTTCCCTGTCACACCCCTTGGGGCTCTGTAAACTGTAACAGGCCTTTGCCCCAGATGGAGGCCAAATAGAACATTCAGTATTAGGCCTGATTGGTCAGGACAAGGAAGGAGGTTACTGGTCAAATGAAAGGTTCTGGGTCTGGGAATATGCCTCAGTGGTAGAGGATTTGCCTACCATGCTCAAAGTCCTATACTGTATACTGAAAAGAAGGCACTTGAAATAAAAAAAAAATTGTATTTTTTTTAGCTTTTATTTATTATTTTTATTTTATGTGTATTTGTGTACTGCTTGCATGTAGGTAAGTGCACCCATGTCGTATAATGCCCGCGGAGGACAGAAGAGGCTGTTGGATCCCCTGGGACTGGAGTCACGGACGGTTGTTAGCTGCCATGTGGGTGCTGGGATTCGAACCCGGGTCTTCTGCAAGAACAACCAGTGTTCTTAATGGCTGAGCCATTTCTCCAGCCTTCCTTCCTTCCTTCCTTCCTTCCTTTTCTTTTTTCTTTCTTTCTTTTCTTTCTTTCTTTCTTTCTTTCTTTCTTTCTTTCTTTCTTTCTTTCTTTCTTTCTTTCTTTCCTTTCTTCTTTCTTTCTTTCTTTCTTTCTTTCTTTCTTTCTTTCTTTCTTTCTTTCTTTCTTTCTTTCTTTCTTTCTTTCTCCTTCCTTCCTGTGGTTCTTGCTAAGCAAGTGCTCTACCACTAAGTTATATTCTTAGCCCCAAAGGAAGTAGTTTAAAGACTATTCATTTAGGGACTGGAGAGATGGCTCAGCGGTGAAGACCCAGGTTTGAATCCCAGCACCCATATGGTGGCTAGCAACTGTCTATAACTCCAGTTCCAGGGGATCTCATACCCTCTTCTGTCCTCTGTGGGCACTGCATGACATGGGTGCATTTACACACATGCAAGCATAACATACACATAAAATAAAAATAAATAAATAATTTAAAAAGACTTCATTTAGATAGTGGATTTTTTTTTTTGGTCTTTTTGAGACGGTCTCCCTATAGCCCCAGCTGTCCTGGAACTCACTATGTAGACCAGGCTGTCCTTGAACTCACAGAGATCGCCTGCCTCTGCCTCTGGAGTGCTGGGATTAAAGGCGTGTGCCACCACGCCCAGCTGATAGTGGATAGTTTGTAAATTTATTTGTATTTTATCTTTTGTTATTATAAAAAGAGGTCTTCTTGGAGAAGACCTGGGTTTGAATCCCAGCACCCTCATGGCAGCTAACAACTGTCCGTCACTCCAGTTCCAGGGGGTCCTACAGCCTCTTCTGTCCTCCACAGGAACTGCATGACACGGGTACACTTAGCTACATGCAGGCAATATGCGCATACACATAAAATAATAAAATGTTTTTTTAAAAAAGGAGTCTTGACTACTATCCTCAGGCCTCTTGGGGTAAGTCTATAGCGCAGCTCTCTCATGGCAGCTAACAACTGTCCGTAACTCCAGTTCCAGGGGGTCTGACAGCCTCTTCTGTCCTCCACAGGAACTGCATGACACGGGTACACTTAGCTACATGCAGGCAATATGCGCATACACATAAAATAATAAAATGTTTTTTTAAAAAAGGAGTCTTGACTACTATCCTCAGGCCTCTTGGGGTAAGTCTATAGCGCAGCTCTCCGCGCCGGGACTCCCTAAGCCACATTCACCCTTCCATCCCTCCCGCCGTTCTATATTCCTAGTTTGGGCCCTGCACCATTCCTAGTCTTGGGGCCCCAGACACCTGGGGAACCAATACTGCTTCCTGATCCTTCTCACCCAGAGAAACTCAGTCCCTTTCTTGGGCTCCAGGAGCACCGCTTCTGGTCCTGGCCCTGCCCTCATCTCCCTCTACTT